GGCAGTCCAGTGGCTTACAAGCCGCTGTGACTTCCGGTTGCCGAACCTGGCCAGCAAAGCAGCCAAGCTCGAGCAATGCTGCGCCCAATCACTGCACACTTGAGCTAACCAAGCCAAGGGTGGCACAAAGCTTGTTAGAAGGAGCAGCTAGCCGGAGCAGCCTGCCTGTCCTGCGGGTTCAAAAAGGCCATATTTCCCAGGGGTTGGAGCTCGGATCCGGAGATTGTATCCCACCGAAAAGATGACAAGCATGTGCAAGAGACTGAGGCAAAAGCATTTTGCGCGAATTGGTGAACCGGACTGACCCGCTCATCAGCCAGCGGCATCAAGCCTTGTGACAACCACGCTCAGGTGCAGCCATGAAGACTTCATGGTTCATGGCTCTTGGGCTTGAGCGATGCTTGCGACATGATCCTGCAGCTCATATGTCGCCCATGCGGTGATGACATGAGCCCAGCACAAGTGCTTAAACACTCACTACTAGGAAGCTGTCTGCTGCACTTTGTAGCCAAAGTGTGGGTGGTTGCATCGCCAACTGTTGCGCCGCTGTGGGGAGCAACATGTCGAAATGCCAAAGCCTCAGATGCCTGGTCGTGTAGTAGCATGAGACCCAGAAGATGCCACCGAGGCCAATTTGCAACAATTCGTTTGGAGCTCTTGGAGATGGAGCTGGCTTCTTATGCATGCCTTCACTTACGGGTGAACAACATAATTACGTGGGACTTTGCTGGAGGGGCGCTCCTTCATTCAGACTTTCCCCAAGGCCACGCAGCCCATAGGAAGTCGAGCTCGAATTGAGAATCCGGCATATGCGTACACTTTGGATTCAACGAGACACAACCCTGTGTGTGTGTGCACGTGCTGACTTTTGTTGGTTTCCAGAAATTGGAGGCGCACCCACATCCGATTCGGTCCCTTTAAATACGTACGCAAGAGAGGTGTCTCTTCCAAATGGGCCGCGGGCGGTTTCATTCTTCGAATTCTCACGATTTCAAGGGACAGGAACGGGACCAGGCCTGTGTGGCAAACAGCCCTATACTCCAGACAGAATAGTAGAACAAACATATAACACTAGACAGAATAGTAGAACAAACATATAACACTAGACAGAATAGTAGAACAAACATATAACACTAGTACTAACAGTAATACTAATAGTAGTAAAAACTTCCCAAATCGACCTGCCGTAGCGGTTTCGGAAACCTCTACATGCCAAGCCAGTGAGGTTGGTTGCGGGCAGCGGGCCCAGTTGGCTATTGGTTGTATGGGGGTTTATTTTGGGATAATGGAAAATCAATTTGAAACTACTATAGTATTTTGGGGTTATAGGAGATATAGGTGTTTGGACAAGACCTACTCACCCCATACGGATGGCAAGGGTTCACAGGGATCATTGTGAGTTGTCAGCACCGCCTGTGAGTGAATATATATACATATGTATATATATATATATGTACATATATACGTATACACCTAAAATATATGTGGGGTTAACATAGAGGACGAAAACATATCCGCATAGTCCTCATCTACCTGTAGACCGGTAGCATCAGTGCCTTTGAATCCCCGAGTGTGTGAGCGAGGTTTCAGATAGGATCTCTCTCGTGCACCTGTTTTTGTCCGGGCCTCATTGGAACATTGATTCGTGACATGAGCTATAGTCACCATATTCTAAACTCCTTAAGGGTTTCATAGCAATTCTACCCGGGAGTATTATAGAGGTTATCAAGGGGCATACGAGGAGTTGAGACTGTAGTTCACATGGATATCTTCACAACATGGACACACATGTTGAGGTATGCCTCAGACTCCGCTTAAATCCAAGACGTCTCGGGCCAAGCATGGCCTCGTGTGCATGAAGCCTACTAGCTCTTAGCAGGGAATATGGGAATACGATGCCTATATTGGTTTTCAAAATTATGGTCCTTTTTTGGATCCCTATTATAATACGGTACCTAGTATTTAGGTTACCCAAAAAAGGGACCATAATTTTGACAACCACCCATGTAATAGTATAATAGATTCCCTCATTCGCCGCTAAGAACCAGTAAGTGAACGGCATGGGGCAGTGAGGGGCCAGAGGTGGTTGGTTCACAAAGAACTGAAATAGACATAGGAGAAATAATAGTTACTGACAGTAATAGTCTCAATAAAAGCAAAAATAGTAATTGTAGTATTAATAGTAAGAAGAAGAATAATCATAGTAAGAACAGAAGTAATTACTATTAGCTCCGCTGAGGGTCTTGGTGACCGATGGCAACGACGAGTTCGCAGTGGGATCTCAAAGCAGTAGCGGGCTCAACTTCGAGCGCTTCCTTTAAGATGCGGTGCTATTGGTACCAAAGCGGCTAGGGATTGCTGTGGTTTTCTTAGGTGTTCTTTGCATTTTTGGCATAGGAACTTCCCTCAGGAGTTGCTAGACATTTTTTTATTTACAGGTCTAGGAGGATTACTTGGGTCATTCCCCCCCTTACAGTAACTATCCTTAAAGGGTTTTTATTAAGGGGCTATCATAAGTCCTATTATTTCTTGCAGTAACTGTTACTGTAATGGGCATCGACTTGAAGGATTACAGATTAATCCCCTCCCCCTTGCATTATAATAAACCACCCAATCCCCTAATATGAAATACTCCCAATATATTACAAGGTACCCTAAAGCCTAAACCGTCAGCGCTGTTCTTGTGCGGGCGTTGCTTTAAAGTGAGGCCCGGCGCGAAATTCACCCGAGTCCGGAGCTATGTCAGTGAAAGCAGAATTTGGGGTTTCCCAAAATTAGGGGGTACCGTTTAAAGAGGTGATATAGGGGTATATAGGATTTATTTAGGGTTGAGGGATTAGGGTTTAGTTGTTTCCCAAAATAAGGGGGTCTATATTAGGGTCCCCTTTTGTGGCAGCATTAAACCTGTGAAGCAGCTGCTTTCGGTCTACCCTCTTTAACTAAGGCATGCTGCGTGCATGAGTAGGTGGAGCTGTGAGTTTTCGAAGGTATTGGAAAGGTTTTAGCCGACCGTCGCTGTCACACTTGCCGCTTTTGAGTCAGCAGCTGGTTCAACACTGCGCCATCTGAACAGCGCGGTCCCTCCATGCAGGCAGCATCATAGTTATCGCATGTGGTTTACGGATGTAGGCGCGGCCATATTCTCGTAGCTGGTCTGGATGGACCTGACAAGTTTTTCCGTCGACTTCGTCATTCAAGATGTCAATGGCAGCATAGATGCATGGCTGCTGTCGCCAATGACGCGCATGGTGCCTCCTAACAGGAGAAGCACCAACCCTTAACCCCGATGCCCTGACCCTAAACCCTAAACACCCCAATATACCCGTACATACCACTACTTACATACCACACACACACACACACATATATATATATATGTATATATATATATACATCCCTATGAAAAACCCCATATACAACCTTAAACCCTAAACCCCTAAACAGGGCCAAGCCAATGTTTGGCCATGGCGCAGAGGAGCTTGTCAACACCAGAGCTCACAGGCTTGGTTTTTGCAGTCTGTTACAGCTTAATGTGTCATATGAGCTATAGTCTAAAATCCATAAAGGGGTTATATTAGGGACTATATATAGAGGAACTACTATAGGTCTATAAAGGGGGATGGAGTTTAGACTATAGCTCACGTGAGCTGCGTCTCTGATGGGGATGCTAAAGTCCGAGTGAGATTATAACATTTCTGTGATTATGGCATGTCGAATGCTACTTTTTGCAAGGCAATGAAATGCCTGATGTGCCATGGCTGCAGGTACCTACAGCAGCACTGCGCCAGAGAGTGACGAAGGTGAAGGTGGAGCCACCCTCCCTCCCTCCCCTCTCTCTCTCGCTCTCCCTCCCCTCTCTCTCTCTCTCTCTCTTTCTCTCTCTCGCTTTCTGACTCTCATTGACTCTCATTGAGTCTCTCCTCTCCCTCTCTCCCTCTCTCTCTCTGTCTCTCTCGCTCTCTCTGCTCTCTTTGGATTTTCCTGATTTTTTGTAGGCTGATGTACTGCAGTGTTATCAGCATGCAAGCCCCACCACGAATTTGCAAAATCCCAATCGAATCCTCGATCCCCAGATTCTGCATAAATTGGCACAGGTGATCCCAAGCACTTGTGGCTGTTGGCTCCGGCAAGGGGCGCTGTCCAGGGTGAATATGTCAGCTTGGCCTGAACTAGCATAAGTTAGTTTTGTTTCGGATCCAAATCTGGGGTGCTTCCAGGTTTAGCCATTGGTCAGCGATTTCAGCGGGAATGTCGTGTCAAGAAGACGCCAGCTCACCAAGGTCCTTCAGAAAGGGCGTGACAACTTGGATCAGCCATTGTGGAGACAGCAGAAAGGATCCGGCTGGCTGTTTAGCAGCGGCCCGGATGGTTTTTGGCGCTTTGCCAATAGTGACATGGCCACTTGGCATTTTCATCTGGGAGTTTCTCAAATCAGGGGGCGGACTAAGGATGCAAAGGGATTCTAAGGATGCTTACAGGGGATAGCACAGTGATTCTCATGAGAAGAACCCATGTTCGTGGCCATGCTTTTGACATGAAATTAGACTGGCATTGTGTTGTGCTGGGGTGGGCAAGCTTTCGATGGGAAATACGAAGTTCTGTGTCACGACCGCGGGAGAGACTGTCTGCCATGTGCCTTTCAAGCTCACATGCCAATGTTGACGCCTTGTCGAATATATATATATATAGACTGATCTTACATGGACAAGTGATGAGTAAAGATCAGGAATTGGCTGATCGCCTGGGCCCAATCCAGTCAGCACAGCCGCACGCTGGAGTGCCGCCACATAAGGCCAGCAAGCGTAACAGCACCGAGCCGTCGTACGGGCAAGGGTTGGTGCTTGTTGCAGGTAGTGCTGTGGCAGTACTACGATGGAAGTGACTGGCACGATGACACAGCCATTGCAGCAACTGGGACTGATGTCGAGCACATGAGATCATAGCATGACAGTTCTGGCAAGAGGGAGCAGTTCCCTGTTCGTAGCATGCCGGGCGGTCAGGTACTCGCCTCTCAAGAAAAGTTTTTGGAGGCGCAGGCAAAGAAGCAAAGCTCTTCGATCGAGGAGGTTCAAGCAAGTTCGAAGCATTCTTGCGAGTTGAGTGCTCGCCTTGCCTTCTCTGACGCGCCAGGAACACCCCTCGTCGCTCTGGCTGCTGGCATCGCGATATCCGAACTTGCAAGGTGAGTATAGAAAGCAGGAGCCAGGGTCTTGAGCTCAGCCACTTAAGTCATTGAGCTTGACATCCAGCTTGCTGCTGGTTAGTAGGAATGAGACTCAGTGTGCATATAACCCCCCCCCAAATAAGATACAGTAGTTCCATTTTTCCATTCTTTCATACGCTTAGAAAGCCAAGAAAGCCAGGAGACACGGCGGGAAAGAAACGAGCCCGTTTGGCGTCAAGTTGGAGGAGAAGGCCAAGCAGAGCACTTTGTCTTGCTGGTGACTGGTGGCCAGTGGGAATTAAGGAATCGGGTGCGGTATGGGGTCCACTTCAGGGGAACGTTAATTAGGGACTAATTGCTATAAGCCTCCATTCCCCACCACCACGAAGCTATGTGCGCGCTTTCAACGTGTCTCGGATTCAACTAGCGCCAGGTGCCAAGCAACAGGGTTGTAGTTGAAAGCTTTTGCGTGGTTACAGATTGCGAAGTTAAGAGGTCCAATACATTCAAAGCAACCCTTGAGTGCACTAGCCGCCTGTGTTGGGTTCTGGTACGGTGTTGTCTGCCTGCCATCAGTTGCAAGAGTAATTATCGTGGATGTCGCGGCGACTCAGGAAGTTTACTCATAATGCCCACAAGCCACGATAACGCCAGCAATCCGTGTAGTTGACCTGTGTGCTATCTCAGGGGTTTGAGGAAGGATCCCTAATCCTACCATGTTTTATAACCCTTGTTCCATACACGGTATATAACCAGATGGTCCCATACTACCCCCAAAAGCTACAAAAACCTAAACCCTAAACCGTAAACCCCTAAACCCCTAAACCCCTAAACCCCTAGACCCTACACCTGGAGGATGGATCTTCAGCACAAGCAAGGGCCGATGGTTTGTGACCGTCTGGTGCCTAGCAATGACAGGTTGGCTGCTGTGACGGAGAGCTAAGGTTTAGGGTTAGGGTTTTAGGGTGGTGGTTGTTTTCAAGGATGTGAGGATTTCCAAAAGTTTGGGGGGCCAGCTTTGGGGAGTCCCTAAAACAAGACGCTTGGCTAAAACAAGGGTTGAAGTGTAATCATATCAGGGTCTATTTTGGTAACCCCTGATTTTTGCATCTAAAAGCCTTAAACTGCAAGCCCAAACCCAACACCCAGACAGTCTCCCCATGTCATGGAGCATGGCCCAGGACTCCGAGAACGGAATCGAGAAAAACGGCGGGCGCCTTCCATGTTACGTCTGGTTAGCAAGGACTGCAGGAATGGATCCTGACTATAGCAACTAGAGAATCCCATTCTTGTCCATTCCCTGCTAACCAGAGGGAAGTCATATAATATGATAAATTATAGTATGACATATTACAAGATCCTAGAAATAAAGATGTTCAAGCATTTTGAAATAGATGTAAACATATTGAGAGGGAGATATATATGTATGAATTAGTATGCTAAAGCATATTCTGCAAACAAAGTATAGAATTCTATAACATACCATGTTTAATTTGCCTGTGCAGACTGAGCAGTGAGCGAGAACCGCCACCTGCACTCACTCAGTAACGCAGGTGGCGTGATGGCATCCGTGTCTCCGCATAAGGGCTGCCCGCCAAACAAAATGGAGAAGCTTGTCTGCAAGCAGGTATGGAAAGCAGATGACTCGGCTATTGCTCTGACGTGGCGCCAGACAGCCCTTCCCCCCACGCCGCTCATGTCCGTTTAGTTTGAGAAAGCAAGCCGATCTTCGCAGATGGTGCCTCAGGCAGTGGCAGTTCTTTTTCGACAGTTCATGGCAGCCCGACTCGGCGATTCGCATCACGGACGCTGGGCAAGTTCTGAGATCTGCCGTTGCTTGTGATGTGTTGTGCACAGTAAGTTGCCAAAGCAATGGGTCACCATTCTGCGCTGTGAGCACATCACTGAGGACAAGCAGGCTGAGGCGCAAGAGCACCGGTTGTGTCTTGCTCAAGCTCAGTTACGGTAGAAGGCATGCCGCGTAGAGGCAAAATTCAGTTCCCCTGGTCTTGGAGACTTGCAGTTAGGCAGCTTTTGTGTTGCTAACCGGGGCAGTCAGTTCCATTATCACAGCTACCCATTCTTCCAACGTGGCCGCTAGTACTACCTGCCGTCAATCCCTGAATTTCAGCATCATATTCTCGCACATTATAGTATGTTTAGTATATTCTAACAGGTTATAGCCTATTACATGGCGTAGTATAGTATTCTATAGTATACCATAGTATACTATATTGTATGATACTATATTATATTATCGTACACATTTTTATCATATGATCGCATATTATGTTATGTTATACTATAACTTGCTGCTGTGCCTGAACCTGGTTTTGAGCGCTTTTGCCATAGCGGAAGCAGACGCTGGGCCACGTGGACTAGGGTTTAGGGGGGAATCTCGCGCCAATGAGGATCCCCCCCATTAAGTATGTCCTAGGTATATGTGTCCATAAAACCCCCTTATAATCCGTAGGGATTCTCTTCTAACTTTAGAAGAGCCCTTAAGCCGCTTAGGGGGATTTTAGGGGCCCTTAAGGGTACATACAAATTTACTGTGTAGTCCAGGATTCATATAGTGGCGAATTCCCCCTACCCTACTCGATACGGACACCCTCAAAAAGGGATACTTTAGGGTATAGGGTACATAGTATGTATATAAGGATCCGGTTAAGGGCCTATACCAGGAGCTCATAGTTTCAAGCTTAGCTCTCCTCGGATACCCCCAATATAATTAAGGGGCTGTCTTATACAAGGGATCCGAAAAAGGACCATGATTTTGGCAAACGATCATGCAACTATAGTATAATGTATCCCAGGGTCCTATCCGATTCTCCATTGTGCCCTGCCTATCGACATATAGGGTTTAGGGTTTACGGTCTACATGGACCCCCCCCCCCTTAAGCAGATGGAATATGGCTTTGGGTATATTATAATCAGATCCCCATATACCCCATATTGTATCTACTTAAGGGGGGCTATATAGGGTTGAGGGTCTAGGGTCTGCATGAACCCTTCTTCCAGCTTCCACAACCCTAAACCCTAAACCCTAAACCCAGCTTTCACAAGAACACTGACATTCCTAGCCCTCGGCCAGGCTGAGCGAATCCTGGCCGAGCAGCAGCGGGAGGACCCCAGCTACATAGGGGTTAGCTAGGGGTCATATGGGTGGTTGTCAA